GATACCAGGTAGACTAGAGAAAGCAATCTAGAGACACCTATATATGTGTGAGAGAATTTTATATCACAAAGTAATTATGCATCAATAAAACACCCCAACCCAGGCCAGATCAAGTCCAAAAGCCCACTATTAGCCCGTATGTCCGATACTAGCCCATGAATTCCTCTTCAGACTCAGGCAGCACATGCATCGATGCCAGATCAATGATGCCAGGAAGATCACAGGGCGGTGGGTGGAAGGTCCTGTAGATCCCTTGGCAGTGGACGTGTCTCCAGGACTCTGGCGGCCATCAGCGTGATTCCACACGGCTTGTCAACAGGAAGGGGAAGCAGAGACTGTGCCCTGCCTCAAGGGAAGAAGAGAGGCATCAGGAGGCCATGCCCATAAGGAGGCATCAGGCTGCGACTTGATTGACAGGCTAGACTCCACCCCTTCGTTCTTATCTATCAGGTTGACATGCAGTTGTGTCACTACCACAATTGGCATCGACTCAAAAGCAGTGAGTTTGTTTTGGGTTTGGTAGATACTATGAGATGAGCCAATTGGATGAATAAAAAATAACGAAAATATATATTTGTTGTAAAATATTTATGTATCTATATTTAAGCGTTATATTTAAGGTAGTGATCAAATGAATTTAAGGAGCACCATGGAAAATAGTGACATATGAGGGCCTTTCTCAAATGGTTCCAATTCCAAAGTCGGTGAATTACATTAACCCAATATTGCTACAGTTACGTTCCTTAAAACTAAAATAGCAAAGGCTCCTCAGAATCATAGCTCCCCTTCGTCCAACAAAATAAAACACCATCCAGTGCCCCTTCATCCTCCCAGTTATTACTGTGTTTGAGCCCCTGTTGAACCCCTGTGTTAATCCCATTGACTTGGGATACGCACACTTTTTGAGCACCCACTACGGGCCTTCCTATCTGTTCTAGGTGCCTGGCCTCTATTGGTAAATGAAACACATGCAATCCCTACCTTCATCAACACGTTGAGTAACCACAGAGTGCTCGTTCTGCCTAATGATGATTTTCCGGACTTTCAGTCATGGATGTTAACAATTAGCATCAGGAGTTATGCTTTATTTCACAAAAATTAGAATTCTTTCAAATTTCTAATGGTTTGGTGCCTCGTGTTGAGGAAGTACTAACTCTTACAGTCTGTTTTACTCCATGGTGCATTTTGAACGCTTGAAATTTCACATTCACATTAACAAATAGATTTCTACTATAGAAAGAAGGAAGTCACTTCTCATTCACTACTCATTGTTGGCATGCTTTGTACTGTTTTTACAAATGTAAACTGTGGAAGTGAATTGTGGGGGTCTCGAAAAATTTGGCGAGAGTGGAAGTTTGTGTATGCTCACCAGCCAACAGTTGATTCAAAATCAGATGGTTAATGACGCCAAGATACTTCTAGCAGCTCTTGGCTGCACTGCCGGTTTCCCAGGCACAAACAGATCCAGAGTGGGAGCAGGCTGAGAAATCCTGCTCCAGTCTGTCTTTGCAATTTACTGTATAGACTCAGAATTCATGACTACCTAGGGATGTTGACCCTTGTAAAGATTTACCGTATATACTCGTGTATTAGCCAAGTTTTTCAGCACAGTTTTTGTGGTAAAATTAGGTGCCTCGGCTGATATTCCGGCCAGCTTACATTCAAGTATGTACAGCACTTACCTTCGAATGTCAAGAATTAAAGTTAATAATAGTAATAATAATAATAAAACGCATGGTCATTCCCCCCTGACAGAAGCTGACATTGTTAAAATAGTGGGTTGTAAATGATAAATATCTAGTTATAAAATGCCATTGGAAAAGTTTGAGATTTTAAAAGTACGTGTGTTCGGTTTATATTTCAAAGCTGACTTTAAAGCCATATGTGGAAATATTCCTGGATTCACCTTTGACATTCACACAGGAAAAGCTGTGGGTGAGTTTTTGCAGGTTTTGTTTATTCTTATGTGTGTATGCAGCATTTTGTAAAAATCTATTCAGTGTTTCTAAATTTTAAGTGTACTACAAAAATAATTAATCTGGGAGAGAAATCAGACACTTTTAGGTTCTAACCAAGTGTTAATATTAGTATGATTCCATTAGCTTAGTCTGGTGATTGAATTATGAGAGTTATGTGACAATATCAAAATTCTATACATACACCAAGCTAACACTAATTTCTTTTTCAACATACTGTGTTATGTGACAAAGTCACTATTTAAGTTGTGGTTGTGCTTCTCATAAGTATGTTCTTAACTTTCTGGTGTGTTTTGGCATTCTGCCTTCTATGCAGGTCTAATTAAGAATTTTCAGAATGATTGTTTATAAGACTTCTCTTGAATGCACTTTTTATTGTTCACTGTATTCTTTTTCGTTCTCCGTCAGTAGGCAATGTAAGTTGAAGTCTCCAGTTTATCAATGCACATGTAATAAAACACACGAAATTGAGAATACACAGGTCTCATTACTAGATGAATCGCAGCAGCAGCACGGTAGCCTTGGCGGGTAGCTTAGACAAGAGGCTTGATTGCCTGGGCAGTTAGTTTGCTACATTGGACACTTAAATCACTCCATACAGTTTGTTGGGCACTTAGATTTTTCAATCACTCTGCAGAGAAGAGAACATGAACAGCCAAGGCACTGATGCCCGTGTATAACTGCATTCTGTGGCACTGAATGTGTGCTGCCATTCCAGCATGCACAGGGATCGAGTACCCCAGGGCAGAGGTCAATACATAAAACAGGAACCATACATCTGACCCAATCTATTCCATTTCAGACATTGATGAATGCAAAGAGATTCCAGGCATTTGCGCAAATGGCGTGTGCATTAACCAGATTGGCAGCTTCCGCTGTGAATGCCCTACAGGATTCAGTTACAATGACTTGCTCTTGGTCTGTGAAGGTAATCGGAATCATATATATGTCCCTTATCCTGAAATGTGAGGCATATGTAAATCAGCTCAGGACTGTTTTAAGTGCTCACTGTGTTGGATTTGCTCATCCAAGTGGGTGAACGAATGCTATCCTGATGCAGTAAAGAATGACTGTTATGAATGTAATTGCTGCGTTGCAGACATTGATGAGTGCAGCAATGGCGACAACCTCTGCCAGCGAAACGCAGACTGCATCAACAGCCCCGGCAGTTACCGCTGTGAATGTGCTGCCGGTTTCAAGCTGTCCCCCAACGGGGCTTGTGTCGGTAAGAAACGGACAGACACCCTTCTTTGACCATTCTCTGGACTTCCTGTGTGTCTATGCAAATGTTGTATTATAAATGTCTTTATAACGTTTGTTTTTGGTCGTGCCTATGCTTTGCTATCTTCAGACTAAAATTTAGACGTTTACTAACTAAAACTGTGCATTCCTATTGAACCTACATCTTTGAGATTCTCGTTTTAAAAAATGAGATCTCCTAACTGGATTCTCTTTGTACTGGACCTAAAACACTGTCCACAAGATAGCAATCAGTACATAAAAACTGCATGATTATTATAAGAAGAAGCTGGGAGTCCTTTGGAAGCCTTGTGTATTTTGATTTAGCTGTTGTTAGGATTCCTGCTCAGCCTGTCTGCAGTAATTAATAGCAGATTATAGAAACATGCCTGTGAGAAATGAAGGCATCTTAATACAAATCAGCTCTGTATAACATGTGTTTTATTTTTTTGTCTTAGATCGCAACGAGTGTTTAGAAATTCCTAACGTTTGCAGTCACGGCCTATGTGTTGATTTGCAAGGAAGTTACCAGTGCATCTGCCACAACGGGTTTAAGGCTTCTCAGGACCAGACCATGTGCATGGGTGAGAAAGGCATTTGATTCCAGGGACTGAAATGGAGCTGAGACTCCAGAACAGATTAATTCGGTCATGTGTCATGAGCAACCGCCACGGTTCTGTCAGAAACAATCTTACGGAAAGTGAACCGAGTTAAACTGCGTTATTCACAGCAGAGGTCACAGGTTGGAACGGGCCACATTATGGTCTTGAGTTCAGAGATTCCCTTTGTTTTTAACCCCAAATGACTCACACGTTTGACATGCTCTGTGACACTTGGGGGTATGTGGAACTCACCACAGTACCAACTGCCCTATCCCGCGCTAGATTCCCACCGAAGAACACCTTTGGGATGTGCAGGAAGAGGAGCGGAAGTGACAGTACTGCGATGAACACCCATAATTTTTTGTTGTTGTTTACACAAATCATTGAATGCATAGAATTTATCCGTGTCTGTAGTGGTTTCGCTTTTTAAAATAATCTGAAGCAAATAGAACCAACTCAGAAATCTCACTGCCACAGAGTCTAGTTCAACTCCCAGCGACCCTGTAGGACAGGGTAGAACTGCCCCTGTGGGTTTCCAAGACCGTCACTCTACAAATTTCACAGTGAGTGTGATGGTTCAAACCAAACCAGACCCGCTGCCACGGAAGCAGCAATGAATCGGGAACCGATTGCCATCAAGTCAAGCCTGACTCATGGTGCCCCCGTGTGTGTCAGAGAAGCACTGCAGTCCATAAGGTTTTCTTTCTTTCTTTTGATTTTAATCATTTTACTGGGGGTGTGTACAGCTCCTATCACAGTCCATAGACACATCCATTGTGTCGAGCACATTTGTACAATGTTGCCAAGACCTTTCTTCTTAAGCACCTGCACATAGACGTGGTTCTCCAGTCTTAGAGTGCAGCCGCCTACTTGCTCTGCTCAGGGACTCTGCTCAGTATACCAAACTCACTTCCCGTGAGTCTTTCCCAACTCGGGGCACCTCATGCATTACAGAGTAGAGTGAACTGCTCCACAGGGACTTTTTTACTGTACTCTGTTCAGGGAGGTAGCTGGCTCTCTCTGCCATGGTACTCCTGGGATGCTTCAAACTGCAATCCTTTAAGTTGGTAGTTGTGTTCCAGCTGCTTATGCCACCCAGGGCCTTTGTTCCCTGGTAAGAGTGCTCGGTAAGTACTTGCTGAGCTGTTGATTAATAATACTTTAGCAGCAGTTAGGACGGGAACTGAGACTGAGCTGCCGGCCTCTTAAATCCGATGTGTCAGACATTGGGATCCTCATCACATTCACTGGTAGCAGCAGGAAGCAGGAGCGTGTATTAATCTCTGCTTTGCACTTGAAGCAAGAAAATTACATTTCTCAGCACAGAGAAAGTTACAGTTGTGCATTTGCTTTTTGTGTTGATGAAACCAGAACAAATACGAATCATTCTCTATCAAAAACATAAAGAATATGAAATCTTTGGAAATATGAAATAAGGCATATGTAAATATATGCATATATGTTCATTCAGCCTACACATTTTGCAGTACATGTCTTCAGGGACGGGGGAAGGAGAGTCAGTAGGATGGTCGATCGTGCAAGCAAAAGTTGTTGTAATGGTCATTTCCCCCACCCCACCCCCACTCCAAAAAGGCACGATTGATCTTTGACGAAAATCCTTCTAAGCTGTTTTTATTAATAGCATTTTCTTCAGTTATGCAAAAATAAAGTATGAATATGTGGAACCCCCCCCCCCATCCCTACTCCCTTGGGATCTGGTTGTTTCTAATGTCTTAACTCTTAAGTTATGTAACTTATATTGTAAGGCTTGAGTTTTTGGATTCTTGTGTGTGTGTGGGGGGGGGGGGTGTTCACTAGTTCAGATTAGTCAATTTATGGTGTAAATATTAAGCAGTTCTTTTAAAATCTTCCTAAGAAGGTTTCACAGGCATCCATCTGTTTTTGTTTTTTTATTCTTTCTACTGGTCTCATTCATCTTATTCTTAGAAACCAGAGAAATACTAAAATATGAAAATGACACATAGTGGCTTGAGTTTGCGATTCTTGTATCCCAGTGGCCAGGACCAATATCGCATCTATGCAAACACGAATCCTGGCTCAGCCAGCTTCACACAAAGCCTAATGATCACAGGGCGGGGAGGGTTGAAATGGGTATTGCAAACTCTCTGACTTTTGGAGTCGCAGTGCCACATTACAGAGTGACTGTCCTTCTAGGCATGCACAAGGAACACCCGGAGATCCCGGGTGACGAGCTTCCTTGTTGGCTTTTGCCACAGTGACAGGGGAAAGGTGTCTACCAAACGCTTGCTTGTCGGAAGGAAAAACTGAGGCTCTGCGCCTGTTCTCCTGAACCTTTTGAGATGCCTGCTTAGCCAGGCTTCTTGTACCAGGACTCTCTTGAGACAGCTGGCATAAAGTATGGATTCTAGAAAATACGTTCTGTGAGATGTACAAGAAAATCTACCCGCGTCCTAACAGTTCTCCCGCGACAAAAGTCAGTCAAATGTTAAGCCCACACCCCTCCTGTAACCGAGCCTCCTTCCTAAGGAAGAGTCCTTTTACACGATAGAGTTCTCAGCTGCCTGTAACCTTTAGTTGATGGAATCTGTTCTCTGTCTTATATGATGAACACTCTTCCTAATTCTCTTCTGCATTCAGCCTTTTTTGGTTTGGGGAGTTTTTTGAGAGAGGGTGGAGGAGAGCTAATAGTGAATTCTAAAAGACTTTCCGCTTCCTAACATTAAGAAGATGAAAACTTATCTCCATTTTGCTAATCAAGTTCATGAAGGAACATTTCTAAAGAAGTAGTTATGATGCTTAACAGAAAAAAATAGTTGTGGTATTTTAAAAGCCTGGTTTGCTTAGATTTGTCACGTGAATCTGTTAAACAAAGCATCTCCTCACAGGTGATACTGGCTTAGCCTCATTCTGAGTGCTGTCTCAGGCATGCCTGGAAGCCATTCACCTGCATTTCTTTTGCTAACACATCAAGGATGAACTCATACTCACCCATCATTGCCCAAGGCATAATTCCTTTCCTCAAACTCCCATGGATTTCCAACACTCCACAGGGAACATCTGTGTGAGTTGGCTGGCTGGCTGGTTGGTTGGTTTGAAAGAAAAATGTAAATCGGTCATTTTATTTCTAGCTGAAAATGCAGTCCCTCCACCCAATGTTTCTTTCTAGATGTTGATGAGTGTGAGAGGCATCCATGTGGGAACGGAACTTGTAAAAACACCGTGGGATCCTATAACTGTCTCTGCTACCCCGGGTTTGAACTCACGCATAATAACGACTGCCTGGGTAAGTACCGCCAGTACTTTTCTGTTGCTTCTCTTTCGTTGCCACGTGCTAGACTGGATAAAATAAAACCAACGGATAAAAGGTACTTCGTATTAGTTGCAAAACTCGCCATTTTCCTATTTAAAATTATTTCTGTTATTAAAATTTCAGGTGGATGGCAAAAGGTACGGCACATAACATCAATTAGTGTTTCGATCCGTAAAGTCACAATACTGAATGAAACAATCACAGAAAGCATTGCCTACGCTCAGCACTTTTGTTAAATCAGCGAATACCGATGAAAGGATTGCTCGCATAGAGTAAATGTATTGCGACTACTAATCGTTTGGGCCATTTTTACAGGTGGCATCAAAGCTAGATCTAACATTGTTTCAGTGTTATTACAAGTATTTCATAGAAATATGTCGCTCATATTCAAAAGCTAGAGCTCTATAACTTACGAGCAGGTTGTCTTGAAGCTGCATATGAAGGCAGGTTTTCAAGCCAGGGGTGACTTTTCCTCTGCAAACAGTGGCTTGTGAGTAGGGTCCCCAGTCAACCCTCTGAATCCAGTTTGTTTGTGAGTGACTGAGAATCCAGTGTGCAGAGGCGATGGCTGACAGTGGTACTGCAAGATGCATGTGGTCCCTCTGGAACGACATAGGAAACAAGCCTTCTGAGAACAACCCCTATCTAAAATGGAGGCATGGGAGGAAAGAGGTCACTAAACATAGTGCTTGGGAGAGAGGCATATAGAAGGTCAAAGGTATTATCTGACCTAACAGTTAAAACTGTGTCAGTAGATTCCCCCTTATGATGTAGGTTGGACCTGATCTGGTTCCTAAAATTTTCTGTATTTTTGGTTTGTATTGTTCTATTTGGTTTTTGTTCATTCATAGTGCAGTGTGTCTCAGAGGTGTTACATCATGGAGGTCACCCTCATGAAGTTGCGTTATATGCTTTTCTGGTGGTCAGTATAAGAAACCCAGGACTGATGACCCTACAGGGACAGCAAGTAGAATAAGGATTCTGGGAGGAGGGGGTACAGTGCTGCTGCTGCTGCTGCTGCTGGTGATGGTAAAAGGGAGACAATGTCAAGGAGTCCATGTAGAAAAAGAATGTTTGGAAACTGATTGTGGTAACAGTTGTACAATTCTACTTGGCACGATTGAAATATGGAATGATATATGTATTAAAACCCAACTAATAAAAAATAGTAAGCCAAAAAAATGTACAGTAGAAAATGGAACTATCGAGAAATGCTTATAGGGTTTGAACCCTTTTCCCACACTCACATACAGATGATTGAGGTTAGAACCAATGGTGTATTAGAGGTGTTCCTGTAGTTGTTGAGGGAAATCATGAAAAAAATCAAAGCAATTGTCTACAGATACTGCTTGTTGCTAGGGTGCCAGGCACCTCCTAGGTGCTCTGTAGCTTGAATTTACACCAATCCCATGGCCCAAAACACTATCTGAAGGTCATTTAGGTTTTCTATCCTTGTGCGGCATTCACAGCCACCCCTCCTCCTAATTTAATCTGACAGGTGTTCCACTCAGGATATCCTCTTTTGCTTCAAAAGTCTGCAGATGAGAACATTTTCAGAGCTAATTGGGAATGTTAGTCAACCATTGCCCTGGTGATTGGAGTCTCTAGTGCTTTGTACAGCCAGATACGCGCACACCTCTGCTCAAAGGACAGTCTGCAAACAACCCAGAAAGTTGCTCACATGTAATCCATCCAAGCTTAACTGAAGATCTAGTACTTAATCCTCCGTTTTTCTCACATCTGTATTATAGCCGAAGAATATAAATCAAGAATGTTTTTCATATAATTGATCTTCCTGTTTTTAATATTCTTGAGGTTTTGTTTAATGCAGTCAGTTTATGGCCAGGTGATCTGCAAACTGGGCGATGAAGTTAAATCCCATCTCTCCCCTCGCCTCAGGGAAGAGATTTTTCAGCTGAAGAATGGAGTCATCACCTTCACCCTGTGACTCTCCTGGGTTCTAAATGTTTAAGTCACGTTAATAGCAGAAATGTGTGTAATAAAGAAAAGGGGGGCGCTCAGAGGATGCCCTTATTTACATGATCCTTATGCTATGGGCCATTTCTCTGTTGGTGAGGAATTGTAAGATAGGGATTGTGTAAATGTGTCGTCAAAAGTAGTTTCACGTTGCAAGCTGAAGCCGGGAGCACAGCTGGCGTGCACCCTGAAAGGCTCTCTCCCCCCTTCTTCCAGATATCGATGAGTGCAGCTCCTTTTTCGGTCAGGTGTGCAGAAACGGACGGTGTTTTAATGAAATTGGCTCCTTCAAGTGTTTATGTAATGAAGGTTATGAACTCACGCCAGATGGCAAAAACTGTATAGGTAAGAAGCAATATTGCCTCAAAGAATCTATATATAAAACTGTATAGGTAAGAAGCAATATTGCCTCAAAGAATCCATATATATATATGGAGGGGGGTTTAATTCTTGGTTTTGTTTTCAAAAACAATGTTGTGAATCTTCCTTTTGGGGACTCTTTCTCAGTTCATGTGGTCATCAGACCACAGATGGCCAAGACAAGATTTGAAGGGAAAACTTGGTCCAAAGTCTTATCTTATAAACTAACATTTGGAATGATTCCGAGAGGTATGTTTCTTCTGAGGACAGTCCACTCATGCCTCAGGAAAAGTTGACCAAAGACAGAAATCAAGAAAATTGACCTTTTGCCAAATGAAAAATGTCTAAGATGCAGGAAGACCGTCCGTATCAGGGCACATTTGCCTCTGGTGAAGCAGCGTACACAGGCCTTGAGCTGAAGGCATGCTATCTGGCTACTGCTTTATTTAAGCAGTGCAACTGTCGTCTCAAGCTTGCCTCTTTTTCACCCTCCTCCTATCTCCTTTTTCAGACATGAACGAATGCGTGGCCCTTCCTGGCTCGTGTTCCCCTGGCACCTGTCAGAATTTGGAAGGCTCCTTCAGATGCATCTGTCCGCCCGGGTATGAAGTGAGGAGCGAGAACTGCATCGGTAAGGCTCGCCATTAGTACGAGGTCCCCGAGCTGCTCGGTGTAAGAAAACCCGGTCCAGAAAACCGAACTCCCAACTGGTGCACGTGTGCTGACCCAGGAGTGGTGCATGTAACTGCCTGTGTCTTTTTTATTGAGCCATCAGAAACAATGTGAAGGTGAGGCGGTAGAGATAAAGAACTTAAAGATGTGGGATTTTTCTCATGAACAGAAATCTTATGCTACTCGAAGAATTTTCAGAGTAATCTTTTTGCCAATGTCAGCAGAGACTTTCTACTGAATTTTAAAAGGGTCTGCAAAAGTCGTAATCTTTGGCAACCCATTTTGGAACCGCTCCTAAAGGTGTCGAGAGTCCCAGAAATGTGAAGGCAGTGTGATTGAAGGATTTCTCCCCCTTTCCTTGTGAGGGCCTCGTGGTGAAGCACAAAATATGAATCCCTTTGTCACGACAGATGTTTTCCTGTTGAAACCCTTCCAGCCCACAAGAACTCTATAACCACATCAAAAGTAGGTCCCAGAACTGCGTGGTGGAGCCAGTGAAGGCACACCTTTCTACAACAGTTCACTGTATTTCAGTTTTATACAAATTATGTTTTACAGCCTTGCTGAAATTCAGAAGCACCACCATCGTAGTGTGGTTTTTCTAACGTGAAAGGCTTGCTAAGAGTTTAGCCTTTGAGTTCACCAACGTTTATTGTTGATTTTTTTTTAAATTCAATCTCCCTTGGCCAGATTCCACCTCGATATATAGTTCTGTGCAGGTTTGCAGGCTTTAGATCAGCAGGGCTGGGGAGACTGTTTACAATTTAGGGTTTTCATTCCTTTTCAGGCAGTTTCATTAGATATTATGGGTCGTGTTGCTAATCATTCTGAGTTGATTTTAATATTTCCCCACTTTCTGTCTGATTTACATCAGACATTATAAAATTCTCTAGTGTTTTTGATACTGGAAAAATAACATACTAGCAGAATCATCTTGGCAAACTTCCTAAAAAGTTAAAGAATATATCTGCCATTTTCTTTATCCACATTTAATCTGGATGCTTCATTATCTCTTTGATCCACCCCTTTAAGGATCAATAATAGTAGGGATGTATTAGTCCCCAAGAAACAGAAATACATGTGAGGCAGCTTCAAAAGGTTTGTGGAAGAATTCCATTATCTTTTAATTCAGTTTTCCACAAATATTTGTAAGCCACCTAGTAAAACCAGTGGTGGTGTTTTCTGCTTGTTTGTTTGGTTTGGTTTTTGGTCCCCTTCATTAAAAGAAGCTCCTGCAACATTTAGTGCTGAGAGAGAGCCATCGGGGAGGGGGAGCGGCCGGAGGAAGGCCGTCCGGCTCTGTGCGAGATGCGGAGTTGCTGCTCTTCAGCAAGCAGGTGGGCAGGGGCTGCCACCGCACTTGCCATGAAAACTGGGCAAACATCATTGGTGAGGAGTACTTACATTCCAAGGACCCATTCTGAGGCAGAAGGAGGGAGCTGGTGAAATTCTTAAAGTGCCTGTCTTAGTTCCACTGGCACAAGCTCTTCACTATTTCCGGCAGGTCTGTGATTTAGGAAGACCGCCTGATAACACGCAGAAGTCGGTTAGCAGGCTTTGGGCAACTCACGTGACAAAGGCGGCAGGATGTGGAATGTATGGAGGACGTAGAAGGACAGGCTTTGTGGCTTCTGGGATAGGAAATTTAAGGCGGGGGTGGAGGATGTGAATATAGGACTCTCTGGGACCCCAGCTCCAAGTGCTGAGAAAGGAAGAAGGGAGGGGACTAGCCGGAAGTGTGGGCAGTTTGGTCACTCTGAGGCTGTGATGTGTGGGAGACTGTCAGTGGTGCAGCCACGAGGCAGGTGGGCACGCATGGCTGCAGATCCAGGGCAGGAAGTAAACAGATCTGGGCATCTCGGCATGTGGCTGTCGGCGAAAAGTGAAGATCCTCTCCAGAGACGAAGTGAACCATCTCCTTCAATACAGACCATTGTTTCCGCTTACATGTCTCTATTTTGGCTTAGTGTACACTCTCGTTTATTTTTCTAAATCAATGATCATCAAATCAATGCGGACTCATAACGACCCTGCTGTCAGCTGGCGGCCATTGGGTCAATGCATAGTGACCCTGGAGGACAGGGTAGAATTGCCCTGTGAGGCTTCTGGACTGTCAATGTTATGGTAACAGAAAGCCCCTCTGGGGCTCCTACCACAAGCGGCAGGACAGAGTGCAACTGCCCCATGGGTTTCCCTGGCCGTCAGGCTGTATGGAAGCAGACGGCACCTCTGTCTCTGCCCAGACCCGCGTGTTGGGTCCAAACCTCCAGCCTTTGCTTTGGCAACCAAGCACTTCACACGCTTTTTCATGGAATGAATAAGCCCTTGGCTTGATTAAATTAATACACGCGTTTGCTTTCTGCAGATATCAACGAATGTGACGAGGATCCCAACATCTGTCTTTTTGGTTCCTGCACCAATACTCCAGGAGGCTTCCAGTGTATCTGCCCCCCTGGCTTTGTGCTGTCTGATAATGGGCGGCGGTGTTTTGGTAAGCTTTGGAAGGCCAACCCTCTCATTGTTGACCGTCAGAAACCTCAGAGCTGCACAGTAACCTGCCATACTGGTGGTTGCTGCTACCAAGGACAGGTCCGTGGTAAATGTGCCCTCTGTGAGTTTAAAGCACAGGTCTCAAAGGCGTACGCTCTTGACCTTTTTTTGACGGGTCTCTGAATTATTAGTGCCGCTTGTTTGTTTTCACAGAGTTTGAATTTTATATTAAAAGAAAATTGGTTGCCCTGTGAGTTGTTTTTATTGCACTGCTGGCCTTTTATAAGACCGGGCTCATACGTGGCATATATGGTTCGATTTGGGAACTTCAGGAAAGCTTTGTGTTCCATAAGCTTTCATGTAACAATGAAAAAAAGGAGACAACTCAATACGGGAATGATTCTTATTTTGAGCCTGGTTTCCCAGGTTGTTTGAGCACATTATAAAATTGCTTCCAAAAACACTTTAAATAGTCAAGAAAACACACAACTTTCAGACAAGCTAAATTAGCAGTGGAGGATTTTCAGACCCATCCTACGGCTGCCTCCATGCTGCCCGCCCCCTGCCCACCCCACCCCCAACCTGGAATCCCCCGGGAGGGCTGCTCTGTCAGACACGTGGGGCTGTCACCCCCACCCGTCGGCGCTGTCTCACCTGATCTATAAGGAGCCTTCCCACATTTTCTCTCTTGATCAGATACTCGCCAGAGCTTCTGCTTCACCAATTTTGAAAACGGAAAATGTTCCGTGCCCAAAGCTTTCAACACCACAAAAGCAAAATGCTGCTGCAGTAAGATGCCAGGAGAGGGCTGGGGCGACCCCTGCGAGCTGTGCCCCAAGGATGACGAAGGTAAGCGTGGTGACGTCCAATACTGCTGCAGTTGATCCCCTCGGGTATAAGTTGTGATGGTTCACTGAGCAGCCTGCTTTGAGAGCCTGTTTTCGACTTTCGTATACAACACGTGTTAACTGCAGGGAGAGTTCCCCTGTTACCTCCACTCCCCTCCCCCAAAGGTTGGTATTACTCGCTCTCCAAAGAATTAACTTGAGAAAGGCAAGGCAGAGAATGCAAGGAAGGGGTGAAAATGATATTCCAGATGGCTGCGGGAGTCCCCCAGGGGATCGTGTCACAGGCGGTGGCCCGCGGCATGTGACATACGTTTATGAGAAGCGAGGTTCACACATGGCTGTTTTTTGGAAGGGATGAGAGCAGCCTCACACCTCTTGTGATGGTGGGAAGAAGGCAAAGCAGGTGAATTGTAGGTTAGTTGCTAGCAGGCTTCGCACTGGCCTCTCTCGGTCATGGGTGGCGTCGATGTGGAATGGGCAGGGGATGGGTTGGCGGGCAGGTTTCCACCAGCAGCTCAGTGTTAATTGAGCAAACAGAAAGAAGCAGGTTCTCCCCGAAGTTGGCCCCTAGTTCAGAGCTGGGCAGGCTCGGGCAGCCTCCTTGTAATATGTTCAGTGTTGCTTTTGAAATAAACCCTTAAAGCAAAGCTCTTTTTTAAAGACAGCAGTATTGAGGAGAAACACTTGGGTCTGTTTTCTTTCGTGTGCGTTGTAATCAGTTCTGATGGTTCAGAGTCTCCACTGATGCGAGGTTTGTTTCTCTCTGTAGTTGCCTTCCAGGACCTGTGTCCATACGGCCACGGGACTGTCCCTAGTCTTCATGATACACGTGAAGGTGGGTGTGGTGCAGTCTTTTTCCTGTTTTCTTATTTTATGGGAATATTATATTATAAATATTATATTTATATAATATGTAATAATATAAATATATGTTTTTTAAATCAGCATACTGTATTCAATATACACAAAATACTATAGGCCACGTATTTAGCATGAGACACTTGCTGTGTGTGGTAACATCTATTCCTTTAGTAAATGTTTGCATGTTTTGGAAATTTTAAGCCTATCTCAAATCATCTTACAACCTTGGTGTAGTCACTTTCCTGTGTATGGAAGTTCATGGGCAATCCTCTGTTTTAGATGTCAATGAGTGTCTTGAGAGCCCAGGCATTTGCTCCAATGGCCAGTGTATCAACACAGACGGATCCTTCCGCTGTGAGTGCCCCATGGGCTACAACCTGGACTACACGGGGGTACGCTGTGTGGGTGAGTGTCGCTTCCACGTTACACACTGTTCGAGTTGCATTTCGAGTTCACTGGTTCAGCCAAAGATAACTTCCCTGGGTGACGGTGGGATTTGCAAAGCCAGGAGAACGAACTAGTAGTTATGGCTCCATCTTTGCCCATCTTACATTTTCAGACCCATCTGGCTCATGTGAAGGTGGACAAAGGTGCCTGACTTCTACTTTCAGACAAATATTACAAACGCTGATGTGGCCCAAACGAAAGAAAACCATACCACTGAGTCAATTCTGACTCATCGTGATGCCTGTGGGCAAAGTAGAACTCTTCCTTAGAGTGTCCACAACTCAATCTCTACTCGGCAGAACCACCAACCTGCGGTTAGCAGACCAACACTTAACCCGTGGTGCTACCAAGTGACCTTCAGATGGGCCTAGAGACCTAGAAATGCCAAAATCCCCCAAGTGCTGGAGAGAATCCTTTTACTTTATGACAAATGTCTCATGTGGTGGGGCGAATGTGGGGGACTTACGCTCTTATAGCCGAGGCCCACACCCACTCCTCCTTGGGGTGTGCAGTCTGTACAGCCATATGGCAGTCTGGGGCTCCGAGCCCTGCACACTCTGTCACGCTGGCTCGTCTGCCCTAGGTAGAGCCCAGCCAGCCAAGCAGAGCCAGGTCCAACAGTCATGGGTGTCCGTCACCGATCCTGGAGACGTGGGAGGCCAGGCGAGGGCTAGAGCAAAACTTCTCCACCCTTTTGTGACCCTCTCTTGTTTTCTCAGATACTGATGAATGTTCAATCGGCAATCCGTGTGGCAATGGTACGTGCTCCAACGTGATTGGGAGTTTTGAATGCAACTGTAACGATGGCTTCGAGCCCGGCCCCATGATGAACTGTGAAGGTAAGGGACCCTTTCCTTGAGTATTAGTCCTTCTTGATAGCAAAGATTTCTCTAAACATGTCAATCTTTATACTGATTTGTTAGCTGTTTTAATCAATGTTCTCGATTTTACCTCTCTGGGTTCTAAGGTACACGGAACAGACACTCAAAGTTCATATTTACAGGGTTGATTCAGGAAATTAACAGGTGCTAAGGCTGGTGAGAAATGCTCAGGGCTCTGTTGTTTATCAGGACATGGCACGGAGTATCTTCCCCCACCTTCTCATCAGCCCTCCCCAGGATAAGGTCATTTGGTGGGCGTTAGAAACTTCAGCTAGTAGAGCCACATTGAAATAATTCACTGCCCCTGCACTGTGGGCAATGAATGCACTATGCGTGCGCTTGCCTTTCTTCAGTGAGCAGAGTTACAGTAGCTGTCTTAAGCCCTGTCTGATGAAGCATTTGGGTCACTCGGGTTGGTGGTTGTTGCTTCTCTCTCCCCTTAGATTGGGGCACATTTTCCTGGTGGCTCTTCAGTATGTTGGTTAATTTGGGTTTGAACCCTAGATCCAGTGAATGATCATTAGCTGGGATCACTTTAGTATCCCAAGGAATATTGATGGTTATTGTTTAAAAAAAAATCTGCAGGCCGTTAACTGGGGTAGCATGTCATTCCTGTGGTAGGATGTGCCTCCGATTTCAACTCTGTTCCTTAAGGTCTAGCCACGAGCTTCTTTGGTTTTGCCCTCTACAGCCAGGGACTTGGGCTTAGTTTCTGCAGATAATTAGTGTTTTTCCTTCCCTAACTTTTCCTTTCCAAAGGGTTTACCTTCACACTCTAGCAGGTCTGGTGTCCCCCAGGATTCCCTCCTCCCCTGCTTCCTCTGAACAGAAGGTCAGAAAGAGTGCTATCAGATATTTAGCTGCCAGGTGCTGTGGCTGCCCCTCAGCTACTAGGAAAGGGAGGGGGGCAGTTAGTTTGCTCCTTTCTGGTTGTGTGCTCCACTTCAGCTCGGAAAAATCACCCTGCTTGTATTCCCGCTCCAGAGTTTTCCGGTGGTGGTTTGGGGCATTTTGCCCAGAGTTTTTATTTATAGCTGTTATCTGCGGTAGGACAAGGTTGTGGGTACCCACTCCTCCGTGTGCCCAACGTGGAAGCTCTAGGAGTAGGTTGCTCTGCGTATGGCCTTTGAGTTAACTCATCAGTGATTATGCCAACAAACCATTAGCGTTCTCGGCTGAGCTCTTGCCTGCCCATTTCTCTAACCAGATATCAATGAGTGTGCCCAGAACCCGCTACTGTGTGCTTTCCGCTGTATGAACACCTTCGGGTCCTACGAGTGCACATGCCCAATTGGCTATGCCCTGAGGGAAGACCAGAAGATGTGTAAAGGTAAGGCCACTCCCGTGGGAACGCTGAGACTCCATGGCCACAAGAGAAATAGATGGTAAGGCTTTTATACCCCTTAGCTACCTTCTCTTAGAACTTCACAGAAAACCAAAATGACAGCATCTTGCCCACAGAATTCTACACCTAGATAGCATGACACTGGATTTTTCGTCCAACCAAGTCACAGACAGGAGGTATGGAGGACGTGACTGATGTCACACTTTTAGGCTCTTCCTACAGCAAGGATGTCCCCTTCCTGGGCGTCTTTCTATCATTAGGACCAGTGCTGCAACGCAGAAGTCTGGAAATGCAGCCAACAGCTGCCCAAGGCTAGACTGACTCTTCCTTTCCCTGTCTCACAAATGGGTATTCCTCTTCAAGAGAAAGAAGACTAAAAGTATCATGATGTAAAGCCCTCAACTGTAGCCTGACGTTTCCCAGTTCGTGGTTTTCCTGTCACAATGAATTTTCTAGATCTGGATGAGTGCGCAGAAGGCCTGCATGACTGCGCGTCTCGAGGCATGATGTGTAAGAACATGATCGGCACCTTCATGTGCATCTGCCCCCCAGGAATGGCCCGGAAGCCTGATGGAGAAGGCTGCGTAGGTAAGGCGCTCTTGCGAGTAAGCAGAGGAAAAGACTGAAGTCAGAAGTGAGTGGCTGGAAGTGACTTTAACTTTATCTAGAAATGATCTCTTTTTAGAGCAAAATCCCTAAATGCGTAATAAAAATTCACTTTAAAATGCATAACTTAACCCATAAGATTATGTTTGAATGTTCTTGAAAATTATAGGTAGTTCATTCAAATGATTTCCTTACTAAAGTTAGGGGGGAGGCTACCTCATAGACATATAGACATTATGCTGTAATGGGTCTCGCAAAATCATGATTCCTCGAAAACACGTCAACTAGAAATTTCACCTAAATCGTAGTTGGAGAGTACTGCCTGTAACTCAAGATACTGCACACGGCAAACACATAGAGATTAGATATTAATAACTATCCTGTCATCTAATGTAAATGAGATTCATTTCATTTATTTTACAGTTACATATTCGTGTGTGTGTGTGTGTGTGTGTGTGTGTGTGTGTGTGT